GTTTAGAGCGTGTCCAAAAGAGAGCCTTGAAAATTATATACGGTTATGATAATCATTATAGAGAAGTGCTTCAGATGGCAGAGCTGAAAACCCTAAGGGATCGGAGAGAAGACCTTTGCTTAAAATTCTTTAACAACATCGTCTCCAATCCCTTGGATTGTTTGTACCACTTACTGCCTTTCGATAACCGAGATCAACTTACGGAGTTACGACCACGCAGACCATTTAGAGTTTTCTTTAAAACAAATCGGTTCAGAGATACTTTCATTCCAGCAAGCGCAAGACATTTTAACTAACATTTATTACAATTGTATATGTAAATTAGTTCCCTTTTAGGTTTGATTTTATTGTATAGTTCTATTACATAATTTGTACACCTTTGCAATTCAGCTTCCAGCTGCTATTAGGTATTCTTCTCAATAAACGTCTATCTATCTATCTATCTATCTAAACGAAATTAAAGTCGCGCGAAAATAAGTGATAATAAGGTAATTGTTAGAATGAATAGACTCTTCATGATATCTTTCCTTAATCGGGCCTTCTTGTGTGGTTCCTCGTCTGAACTTCAGCGTAACAATAAGGCAACTGTACTTCTTTCAAGTTTAATCGGCTTTGTCTCATGGGTATAGCGTAGTTTAACGCGATTAACAAGTTTAGTTCCAAGTGCAGTAGTGGTGAACTGACGTGTCGACATCCTGTGCGAAGTCATCATCAGAGTCAAGTGATCATTGTCATCAGTCACTTGACTCCGATAGGGACTTCCGCCCAGCTTGTCGTCTACAGTTGGTTGGTTTTTTAAGGCTTAGACGTGCTTCTTGCTTCCCGGTATAGCGTAGATTGACGCGAATAACAAGCTTAGCTCCAAGTGCAGTAAATGGTTTCAACCCGGGAGTAACATGTGAAAGTGTAGTGTGATCGTCCGGGTGAGTGTAGTGCTGAGAAGGACTGTACGTTGTCGGTGGACGTGTCGACAACCTCTGCGGAAGTCATTATCAGAGTCAAGTGATCATCGTCATCAGAGTCACAACTCTGATGATTACTTCCACACAGATTATCGTCAGTCCACAGTTGGTTGGTTTTAAAGGCTTAGACGTGCTTCTTGCTTCCCAAGATGAACAATCTATTTATTCCCAAGCTAATTACCGTGAAAAGAAAGAGTCACGTTTACTTCACGACAAAAATTTTGCAGTAGCTTTGATAAATAAGCACTTTTTGAATAGCACTCAGACAGCAAGTACCAATCCTCAGTGGCAAGCACCAGAGTACACAGGCTGAAGACTCTTTGTGTCTGAGGTCGGAGTTTTTAAATTACGAAGTACTTGCTTTAAGGTAAGAGTTATTGATTCACCAATTTCTATTCCCAAGCTAATTACCGTGAAAAGAAAGAGTCACGTTTACTTCACAACAAAAATTTTGCAGTAGCTTTGATAAATAAGCACTTTTTGAATAGCACTCAGACGGCAAGTACCAATCCTCAGTGTCAAGCACCAGAGTACACAGGCTGAAGACTCTTTGTGTCTGAGGTCGGAGTTTTTAAATTACGAAGAACTTGCTTTAAGGTAAGAGTTATTGATTCACCAATTTCTAGATGATAATGAAAAGACCGATCCTTGCCATCGCGGTACGGGTGTCACCAAGAACACAGTTTTCAGTTTTAATGACAAGCTATATAAACCGGAAAAATGATGGATGCGGCATAGGCAACTCACTATCTCCAGTCCTTGCAAGTATTTTCATGGTTAAATTAGAAGCTGATGTAGTCCAACCTTTCAACCCGCCATTCTATGACCGGTATGTTGATGATTGTTTCTCTAAGAAGAAAAAGGACAAGCTTGATGCTCTATTTGAACGGCTAAATCACTATCACTCTTACATTTTTTTCACTGTCGAGGAAAACCCAGACCACTTCCTCGACACTGCCTTTAGTTATAACAACAAGTTCAATTGTAGCGTTTTCAAGAAACCGAGGAAACTACCAACGCATTGGAAATCTGAGGTCCCTACCAAATGGAAAAGGAATTGCATCTGGCGCACTCCATAGAGCCAAACGCATCTCTACCGATCTTGACAAGGACATAAAAACTCTTGAAACATCTATTATCAATGCAGGTTATTCCAAACGTTTTATTTCGCATACAATCAACAACTTTCTAAACGACTCATCAAAAGATGACAACATCATTCCAAATTTTNTTTGGAAAAAAGAGCATAATGTTAGCATAATTTGGCAAAAAAAAAAGCAATGCTACTAGCATAATATGCCACTTTTACTAGCATAATCTATAAAAGCCTATCACAGATCCAAAGTTGTTTATACAAAGGTGATTGTTCTTGTGGTGTTGAGTACATTGGCGAAACTGTGAGAAATTTCCCGCTCACACCTCTGAACCTGCAAAACACTTGCGCGAAAATCCATCACATTCTTTCACTTGGCGTGTTCTCTCCTCAGCAGAAACATTCCACAAGCGTAGGATCGTCGAGGGGCTAATAATCCAAAAATTCCGCCCCAGTTTGAACAAACAAGTTATTTCTTGTCCCCAAACTTTTCCCATCGGTAATTACATAAGATATATATGTATGTGCAGACGGTCATTATTTTCAACCCTGATGATGGCAAATAGCCGAAAACGTTTGGTTCAAACATCTTAATTTTTTCCCTAATCTTTTAGCCTTGTATGTAGAATATACTTTACTTTAAGCGAACATTATGGACTTGAACGACAATTTATGAAGAACAACCCAAAAATACGAAAACAATGAACTCTTGTCGATTAATATGAGCCATGGCCTCAAAAGAAAACCTTGCAAAATCCCAAAAATGTTACCAATGAAAATTTAGTAGCTGTAATTTATTTTCCTACATGAAAGTCTTACAAGCATAATGTATTAGGTGTAAGTTATCTGAAACATTAGCCTCTTACTTTTGTCAAAGGTTCTTGTGTGTGCAATGTGCGTTTGGAATTAATATATTCCAGTGTTCCTACCTTTTTTCTATATTTAGCAGTTGTTTTTACCGTATCACTAACCAAACAAAGCGCCTTTGAAATGTCAATCGTGAATTTTTAATTTTACATTAATTCGAAGCGTCACACAACGAATCGACCTAAATATTGGCCCTTTCCGACCCGTACACCCTACGTAACTGTACCGACGTCAATAGAGGGATTAAGCACCACGTTTTTTTTTTTTTCGCGAACGGCAGACAGGGGCACGCGAACAGGCAGACAGGGTTAAGTGACCTGACTTTTCCCGCGTTTTCCGTTTGCCGGCCGCCGTTTCTACTCGAAGAGGACATTTTTCGCGTTTGTAGGGAACGCGAAAACGTGAGTATCTGCAGCCCATTTTTACCGACTATTTCTACATTTTGATCGCTTGCTTTTATAGCTAAGCTTCGTTTATCATCTTACTTCTATATGAACTGCTTGTAAAGCTAATAGAGTTCAAATTCAAGCGGAAAATACATTACTTCTTTGTATCCATTATTTCTAGTCGCAGTGAATGGCGACCGAGAACATTTGTTCTGCGGTGTCGTCGGAAAGCTTAAACAGTCGAACATCGCGGACGGAACGGCAAACGACTAACGGCTAGCCGACGTTCAGCGTTCGCCGTTTTCACGGTGCTTAATCTATCTAATCTCTTGTCAACAGACGCTAAAAAATACTTTGGCACTCATCAGGACCTAAAATCCTACATAGCTGGAGGTTTAAGCGGCATGCGTTCTTTGAAGTATTGGGCGGCGGAGATACGAAATCATGCGCCGAATACCAACCACGAGCGTTTTGGGAGGAAAAATCAGACAAACTTACTTTCCTCTTCCCCACTTCTACAGTCAAAACTTGGTTACCTGGATTTCCGCCTTTGACGCCTTTTTTTTTTTTTTCTGTAGTTGCCAAAATTCCATGTCAAAGCCGTTTTCGTGTTCTACCGACTTTCCTTGAGTAAATCCGCATCACGAGTGTGTAAGGGAATGAGTACGAGAAAGACAGAACCTCGCGTCTCCCATCTTACCCTTTCCCATCCCATTCCATTGGCCATTCTCTATTTTAAACAGACTTGATTTCAGAATGAGGCTACTCTCCTGACTCAGAGCTGTATTGTGTTCTTCAGCTGCAAACATGCTTCAGAGCCGCAAAAGGACAACTCAGCAAACGGCTGGGTCAGGAGGAAAAAGACGACGGATGTCTATAGGAGTACCAATGTACAGCCACCACAGAAACATGCTCTCTAAGCACCAAGATGGCAGCCACGAGCGCGAAAAGCCTTGGGCTGCTCTTGGTGCCTGGTTCATGGGGCCCAAGGCGGAGAATGGAAATGTGTTCCACGAACTTGTCACTCAAACTATTGATTCTCAGATAAACTTCCGTCGTCACGTGTAAGTCACCCAAAACTCATTTTTTATTTCAGTTGCTTTTTTTTTTCCAGGAGATGAGCGCAGAACTTAAATAAAATAATCAGCTAACTAAACGATTTTGAAGAAAATTACCAAAGTATCTACCTTACATTCATTTCATGTTCCAATAAGGCCCGGCCCTTTGTAATCTAAAGAAAAATTAAATGTGACCTCTCTTTGGCATACCCTTCCCTTCCCTTCCACTTGTCGCAGCAATTACAATGACTGCATTTTGTAAATATTCAGCAAAATCTAAGTTTTAATAACGATATCGACATAGAACTGCACTGATGTATATTTTCGCTTTAGATATTTTCCGTGTGATCCTCCTTACGTGACCGATGAGCTCCGTGATACACACGCATTTAAAGCTTCTATGAACAAGTTAAAAACTGAGATGGAAGAACTTCAAAATAAAATGATGAATTCTGTGCCATTCTACAGCTCCAGATACAAGGTGACCTTAAACAACTATCGCTTCATCATCAGTCATATTCATACATACAATGAGCTTGCACCTCGCTGATCCTAGCACTAAACAGGACGCCAAGCCCAACGGTTTTTGTTTCATGTAAACCGCTTTTCGATTGGCTATCATAAAACATAAACCAAAGTAATAACAACGGCCAATCAGATAGTTTATTAGTTTATTTAGCTTCGCCAACCGGCAGGGACACCGCAATAGCTTGCAACAATTACTGCGGGCCCTGTAAACCCACCCATCCCACCCCGGGGGAGGACATCCATCACACAGTAATCTCGTGCGTGGGAAATTAACGTCTCCTACCCCCAACCCCGCAGGAGACGGGACCTCCATTTATTCGTCCCTATCCGAGAAGACTAGAATAATTAACCATTTCTTGATGTTATAGAAAGATAGCAAATTCTTTTCAATTATTTTAAGACCTTGAGGGTTGGTCCGGCCAGGGCTCGAACCCTGGACCTTCCGCATAACAATCCAGCGCACTATCCATTGGGCTAACTGGGCGCCGATGAAAGGAAAAATGCCAATAACACTCAACTGAAAATTTCTTGAAATTATATCGGATGAACAACAGTCACACAGCTTTGTTACATCATCCACGGAGCGGTAAAAAATGGTAGTTTGATCGTGTAGTCGAATCGTCCCAGTAACTGATGTCATTAAAAACTTAGACGGACTACTGTTGATAGCAGTTACTGACATTTTACTAAATTGCACGTTTGCGTCCAAAAAACTTGGGATAAATATGGTTCCATAATTTTATTCGTGTCATTTGACAACATAGGGCCATGTCAACTGGGATGTAGCTATGCCAGCTCATCTTGGTTACATCTGCGCTTTATTANTGGGGCTCTATGTTACACCTTGAGGGTTGGTCCGGCCAGGGCTCGAACCCTGGACCTTCCGCATAACAATCCAGCGCACTATCCATTGGGCTAACTGGGCGCCGATGAAAGGAAAAATGCCAATAACACTCAACTGAAAATTTCTTGAAATTATATCGGATGAACAACAGTCACACAGCTTTGTTACATCATCCACGGAGCGGTAAAAAATGGTAGTTTGATCGTGTAGTCGAATCGTCCCAGTAACTGATGTCATTAAAAACTTAGACGGACTACTGTTGATAGCAGTTACTGACATTTTACTAAATTGCACGTTTGCGTCCAAAAAACTTGGGATAAATTCTGTCCATAATTTTATTCGTGTCATTTGATTACACAGGGCCATGTCAACTGGGATGTAGCTATGCCAGCTCATCTTGGTTACATCTGCGCTTTATTATACAATCAAAACAACTGTGCAGCCGAGTCATCCACCGTGACAACGTCATTCGAGCTGGAGGTTGGGACCGACTTGTGTGTGATGATGGGATATGATCCGGACAAAAGCATGGGACATTTGGTGACTGGAGGGACGGTTGCCAACATTGAAGCTCTTTGGGCAGCACGAAATGTCAAGTTCTTTCCATTAGGACTACGAAGGGCTCTGTGCAAAGAGGAGAAATTGGCTAATGCGAAACATTATGAGGTAGTATTTCCAAAGAATAGTTTGAATTTTAAGATCTCATCCTTTCGTTAACCCTTCACACATACTTTAGAATAATATTATTTGGAGAAACACGCGAATATCATAATTATTCAGGGCTTATATATTCCCCATTGGAAGTTTAGAATCCACCAATTCAGAGTATTCAGTAATCGTACAGTGCAAACCAGATGAAACTAGCGAAAAGACAGTAGTTACGTTCCTGCTCTCATTTCATTAGCCCGAGTATGTTTTAATCGTTTAATACCGAGTACTTTTTTCTATTTAAACTCAAACCCAACGGGTCCTCTCTTAACTAACTGCTCATGGAAGTATGGGACGGGTATTTGTCGTTAGGCTTGTTGAAAGGTGCTAGGTTTGACCGGCAGAGAACATCAGAACAGTAAGCAAACTGTGAGCATGCGCTTTTTACTTCAGGTCTTCTTTCCTCAGAGGGGGGAGAAAGGTGAACTGATCAGTGGCACTGAATGGGAATTACTTAATCTTGACACTTCCTCCATCCTCATCATGCCTGAGGAGGTGCAAAAACTGGCTGGGCTGGAAAATCCCAGTGAATTAATGAGATTACTGTCAGATTATCTCTACGAGTCTATTGGGGCAGCTGAGTTTGCTCGCCACCATCCCCTGATAGAGAACACCTGCGTGATAGTACCCAGTACCGCTCATATTTCCTTCACAAAGGCAGTCACCATATTGGGATTGGGTAAGAGTAGCCTCGTTCCAGTGGCAGTCGATGAAAACTCCCGGATGGACGCAGTCGGTAAGCAGTTTTATTTCAGAAAAAAGGGAAGAACTAGAGAAAGGGAGAAAAACAAGAGAAGTAGTGAGAAACGTAAACAAGAGAGCGAGTGCTAACGACGACATAAAATAGGGAAGACTGCAAACCACATGCTGGATCAGGAGTGATATTCTTTGGATTGATAAACCGCACGTGATGCATTCGGTAAAAATATACATTTCCTTTCTAGTTTTAAAAGACATCTTGGAGAAGCACCTAAACAGACAGGCTCCTGTAATGGCAGTTGTCGCAGTAATGGGAACCACTGAGGAAAGCTCGATTGATCCTCTTACTGATATCCTCAAGATACGAAAAGATTTTAGTAAAAAGGTAAAAATAGATGGGCATGGTAAACGCGAAGGTTGTTCATAATGGTATTGCGGAAGTCAATGGCTAACCGGAGAAAAAAGTAATTTCGACACAACCAAATAAGGAAGCTAAATAAATTTGTTTTCAGAAATTTTAAGAATACTCTTCGAAAAATAGGCGTCGAAAACACCACCGACACGGAAAGCCAGTAAAGCTAACCTGAACGCAAAATTCCCTAAAATACGATTCTCAGTAATGGGAACCACTGAGGAAAGCTCGATTGATCCTCTTACTGAAAACCTCAAGATACGAAAAGATTTCAGTAAAAAGGTAAAAATAGATGGCCGTGGTAAACGCGAAGGTTTTTCAGGAAGGTATTGCGGGAGTCTAGGACTAGCTGGAGAGAAAAGTCATTTCGACACAGCTCATTAAGGAAGCGAAATAACTTTGTATTAAGCAGATTCCAGAATATTCTTCAAGAGTATTCTAGTACATCCAAAACAACACCGACACAGAAGGCTGCTTAAGCTAACCTGAACACAACATAAGACTCTCCTTGACAAAAACATTACCAATCACAAAAGTAGGTATCATAGACGTCATTTTCCAACGAGCTTGTAGTTTAAAAAGATGTCGTGGTTTACGTAATTAGCGCACGCGTAACGTAGTGACTAAAGCTGTCGCAGCGCAAATTCAGAAAGTTTGAGGTTCCATTCCTCTTGAGGTCTCAAATTTTTTCCCTTTGTCTCACGCTCATAACAAAACAGAAAACATCTTTCTTGATCTATCATTGCAGGGGCTTGACTTTAGCATCCATGCCGATGGAGCCTGGGGTGGATATTTCTGTAGCATGTTACGTGATCAACCCAAAAACTTTTATCTTAAAGCACCGGAAGACTCTGGCTTTGTGCCTCAGTTGTATCTGAGTTCCTATGTCCACGATCAGTTGTCAGCTTTGGACCAATGCGACACCATCACTATTGACCCTCACAAATCTGGCTTCTGTCCCTACCCTGCTGGGGCTCTATGTTACAAGGATAGGAAGATGAACACCTTCCTCCAAATCACCAATAGTGTGGTCTATTACCATGGTGATGTGGCTCTTGGTAATATTGGAATTGAGGGATCTAAACCAGGTGCAGCTGCTGCATCCGTTTTGCTGGCAAACAGGGTAGGATTTGTTTAATATCACTTACACGAATGTCTTTATCAGTTATTATCATTAACTGCTGCGGACATGATACTTCTTCATCGTCCCTTATCTGGCATTAGATTTCCTAGTTCTTTAAAGACACGGCCAGTTTCTGTTCATGATGAGTTAACTCTCTCCGTGGTACATTAACAAAGCTGCTATTATTGAGGGTGCCAAAACATGTCTTGCCATTACTGTTATGATAGTAAGTCTGACGGCCGGACTAGTTACTGCATAGAGCGTATGGGGAGCCAGTTTGATTTTTTTTT